GTATCGAGGAGAACGATGGCGACATTGCCGTTTATACGGAACTTAAAACTTTGTATCCATACTTGCTCCTGTTTATTTTACATATTTTTGTTCTGTTCAGTGCCACATGATCTGATTGTAACATACATGTGCTGTTTATAATGCTGTATCTCTTAGCAATAATCATCCTCCAAGACTCAGGGACAGTTTACCGAATGGAAAAGTCATTTCGTGTTGACAAACTGCTCTTGGTTTCGGAGGATGGGTTAATAAATCAATCTGAAAAAAATGACAGAATATTGCACTTCATAAATAAACGCCGGGCCCCGATTAAACGCCGACTTCAAATAAACGCCAGGTCCACGAGGCCAATTTTGAAATAAACGCCGGGGGCGTTTAATTGAGAAAATACGGTATTCCATTGCAGCCCTGCAGCATCTAATGGGGTGGGGGTTTTCCAGCTGCTCGTATATTTTCTTACGATAAAGCGGTGTTTTTGGCAAAGTTCTGAATTGGCGATTATCGGTATCTTTTAGTCACCGTTAGGAAAGGCAGGGAGTTTATTTTTTTATATAACAAAGGGCCTGTAAGTGGTTTTACCTTTTTTTTAGGTGGGGCAGTGAAAACTTAGAATTTCAAAAGGTACCACCGTGTGCATTTACATTACAAGCTAACATTTTCCGATAAAATCACTCCTTCATATGTCCCATCTAAATTTCGCTTTTCGGCCTTTTACCTGGTGCCGCGAGTTAACTTTTATCTAATGCCTTAACTTGTACCCGGCCAACAGCGTTGTTTTGGCTAGCACGCCTTCAAAACGTTCCGCGACAGTATGTTCTTTTCATCCTTAGTTAGCACGTACACTCTTTTTTAAAAGAATATTGTTTTTCAGGCTCAGGCTGAGTATTCTTATCAATTTTCTGTTTATTTTAGGCTGACAAAATTCTTGTGAATATTCCTAGATTAGATAAAGGAATACAAAGTCGACTTTGCCGATAAAACGCCAGATTTAGTCGATCTAATCTTTTCCCCTCTTCCTAGGGAATTCAGCGTTAAGTTGATATTCTATTCCATTTAAAAATTATTAGTACTGGAACAAAAAGATAGTATATTTCGGCATAGTATCTTTAACCCCCAGGGATCGTATTTGTGCTTGTAGTATTAACAACGAAATGGCAAGGTGCCTGCCG